GGCTCCCATCCTTTATTCGCGTTTGATTGTCGTTGAATAATGACCGTAACTGCATAAATTATGCGCGTCGTGTTCCGGGAGTAAACGACAATACCGTGTCAGTAGATTCTAAAGATAATCGTGACTGAGAATGGATTATATCCACACGTGTCGAAGTCGTATCGATTACTGAAATATGAACATTTCAAGACGCTGGTGGAAAAACTATTAAAACTGTTAGAGCAGTTACTGAGCAGCTCATGCTATCCAGAGGTGGACGAAACTTTATTGGAATTTATTTATAATTTATTAGCCTTCTGGTTTTGAGTTCGTATGGTCTTCAAAAAGAACACACCATGTAAATCGATGAATTACAAAACAAGACAATTTAGAGTTCAAAAGTCAAGTTGATTCGGAAACAATTTTAAAGAAACGAAAAATGGTATTATTCCAGTTCTGTCGAATTTTGATTGGAGAATAAAAATTCGCCTCTGTCATTGCTGTACTAAGAGTCAGGACTTTATTTGCACTTATTTATAAATTATACCGATGATGTGACAGTCGATAACTCGTTTCCAAGAGAATTTCTTTCGCAGGACCGAATTCACGGGACTTCTTATGTTTCATGGTCGTTAATTGTTTCGGGGTTGGACCATCCAAGTCCATTTTACAGTTAATATCGAGGCTGCCTAATAAATTCGCGTGGACGTCGTTCCTGTTCCCGGAAACTGCTCGTTACGGTCGAACAACCAACGAAAACACGTCGTTGGGAATGCAAATCTCCGAGATTCGGTGTTTGGACCGCGGCTATCGAGGAATCAGAGTCCCCTTCTGTCACTGTGGCTGCATCACGGATGTTTACGACACGTTTGCGATAATGTTGTCGAAATTGTCAGGGCGGAAATACGAGAGTCGATCTTGGACATTGAGTAGGACCGGTTGGATCGAGCTGCCTTTGCTGGACGTTTTACTGTTTCGTAATTGAACGATTTGAAATGTTTGGGGTGCATTTCGGTGGATGAGAGTCCCCCTCTGTCAACCATTTTACACTCGATCAGTCATTAAAGTTTTAATGGTAGGTTTTCAAAATCGAATAGTGATCGATGAATGTCTGGAAATAAATTTCTTCGTTGGGATCTGTTTTTGAAGAATTTTATAATAAAAAATTGCGAGTCAAACAACGACATTAGGTTTTCAGGTTGATTTTCGGAATCCTGACTAAGTTTTGTTGTGATCCAAGTAAACAATTTTTGAACAATTATATTATCTATATAGTACATAATTACTTGCAGAAATTATGATAAATAGCATTTCTAAGGTTGTATATATTAATATCAAAAATTTATTGCTAATTCAGCATTCAACCCTGTCTTTAAAAATAGTTATTTGATTATAGTTTGACTATTTTATTCAGTTTCCGACATAAGCAACAAATTTTTCGAAATTAAAGCAAAATTAAAAATATAATATAAAAAAATGAAAATAAATTAAAAACGAAGCTATCTACTTTGAGAATACATAATTGTGACAATGCCAGTGATACTGATGGCGCAACAGAGAAGGATGTGATTCTAGACGAAGAAAAAATAAATCGAAAATAAAGAATAGTTTTCATTCGAAGCTTTCCTTTCGAGATTATGGAATTTGACTATTAGTACTATATTTGCATCGTTCAACCAGTAAAACGACCACTCGTACTAAGTAAGACAGACAACAAATTTTTCTCAGTAAATAAATAAAGAAGTAAATATAAAAAAAAGTATCATAGGTATATTTTAGGAAAAGTCGTGAAGTTTAAAGGCGACTTGAAAATTCTAACCGAAATTTTAAAAACGGTCATTTGAAGAACAGTGTTAAATAAAATTAAATAGGATTTAAGGAAATCGTAATTAAATGGTTTTGTCCCGGGAAATAGATCGCGTCGCGTCGAAGTCGTTTCGTTCCGATCACTTTCGAAGATTTCCCGCTCGATGGGCACCGGCCGCGCACCACAACGTGTCCCACTGACACAGTTCGAATGCGCCAAGGTCGGTGGTTCGTGCACCGAATCGTGATCCTCCCGTGGCCGCCATCCCCCTTTTTCCCTCCATTCACGGCGGTCCCGAGCGGGGCTCGCGTCGCGACGGATTTCGAGCGTAATAAAAGACGAGGCGGATTCGGTCACGGCTGAGCCGCGGGGATTCGCACGTCAGGCCGAGGCGCGATCTTCATTCCGCGGACCTTGCTGCGAGCGGACAGGCGAAACAAAAGAGCGAGCAGAAGAAAGAGAGAAAATAGAGGCAAAAGGATTGAGCTGTTCATAAGCCCTCGCGCGGCGTCTATTTCTGGACTTAACGATGAACGTCTCGAGAAGGACGCTCAAACTGGACTTTTATTGCGCGTCCAGACCCCCCCCCTTCAATTTTTATTAGGAACGCGCGCGTTTCGACGGACAACCCTGATTTGCATTTCGCGTTCTAACAGCCATTTTCTATCCCGTTACGCTGGAAATTTATCGGTTCGTTCTTTAACTGCAGACTTTACGAGACCGATGAAATCACGCGCCGCGGAACAATTCTATTTAATTATCAATGTTTTATGTAATTAAGTGTGGAATATTCGCGCATAATAAATTCGTTGGGGGCTGGTTTTCAATCGACTCGTATTTAACGAACGAAAGTTTCGGTTTGTTTATCGGTACGTTGATAATCGACCAATTTATTGCAAGAAAATCGCGAGAAATACTTGGAAAATTGTTGCTCGATCAATGTTCGTTGAAGGATTAAACAGTTCTTTTTTTTTAACGAGTATTTGGTGAAACGTAAAGTTACTTATATGCAATTTTTAAAAAATTTTTTTCTTACTATAATTTGACTACGTTTGTCAGAAATGTTGTACTCGAAAATTGCAATTTTTTTTTATCAAAACTCTCTGATAGCATTGTGGAATTTGTCAAGTCAATGTTTTCCATATTTATAAATTACTCTATGCAAGCATTAAAATAATAAAATTGTCGAGACAATATACTCTTCAGTAGCTAAGCTGGAAAATGATATAATAGATGTTGACAAACTTTTTAAAGAATAAACGCAGGATTAAGTTTGTATAAATGACAATCGACTACTTTTTATGTATATTTTATCTATAATGTTACGTCTCCATTCACTGCTAATTCTTCTTGTCTATTTAGTAAAATTAAATTAGTCTTCTATCTTTCGAAAATGTAAGAAAATCTGTCAACGTATACGATACTATCTTTCGAATTAATAATTCACGAAAACTCAATACACAGAGTCAGAAACGTTATTGTTTTACTAAATTCTAAACAATCAAGCATGACGTCACAACGTCTTGATGCTTTTTCGGGAAAAATTATTCTGAGAAAATGTATTTATATATTCTCCCAAGATTTTTCAATTTCATCGCTGATTTTCACAATTATTTTTCCATCAAATTGAAAACGAATGGAAAAACTCCGACACTAGCATATATTTTACACAAAGACGGAAGAATACTTCCCTAACAGAAACCCATTGAAGAGTTGAGAGGAAAAAGATGAACGTACGTATCTAAATTTACACATATGATCCGACGCACTGAAATATACAACGTTAACACTCTTGTTGAACACAGTTCCTAAAAAACGTTAAATGTAAAAACACTTGAAAATTTAACGACCAATTTAAATCACATTGAAAGAATTTCTAATAGAAACAAATCTACTGCAAAAATTATATGCATAACATATCACTACAGTAGACACTCCATAAGTCGTCTTAAACAAAAAAGAATACTACCATGTTCGAAATTTATCTCATTTTTGCACTTTCGGATGTTGACTTGAATTTCAATTTGAATCGTTTCGTATAAAACTGGTCATCAATTTTGAAAGAAATTGAATTCGAATAGCACTTCCAACTTGAATCGAACATTTTCTGAATTTGAACACTTTTTTTCTTCGCACTGTATATGCTTGATAAGTCACTTTCCATCGTAATAACTCAACAAGTTTTTAATTCTCCGTTTGACTGCCCATAATTTTCATCTCCAATTTAATCTCCACCTCGACTGCCACTCAATTTCATAAAACTCTTTTTGGTCTGTTCAGATTTCTGAACATTCACTCCGATATCTTCATTTTAACTAATCGGATCGAAAATTTCAAACACTCGTTAGATTGTAGTAATTTGTATTTTGAGAGAACATGTGACAGAAATTTTAATGGCGACCATCGAACAAGACTAGATCGAAAATATCTGAATCGTTAGAACGATTAAGATTAATCAAAACAATTAATCACACCGATCAGGCCCAGCCCGAGCGATCAAAGCGTCCGTTACCACGCGTTAATTGATCTTTTAGTTAACGAGATACTGCCCTCCCGAGTTTTGGTTTTCCTATCGTAAACGAGATCTAATCTGGCCGCGGAGCGAATTACACGCGTCCTCGTCCCGTAATCTATTCGCGATGAAAGTCGTTTCCCTTTCGATTAACGTCTCTCGTTACCGAGCGTTTGACAAGCACGACGCACGAAGCCGCGTATTAGGTACTCGGTGTCGTGTCATGACCAGGATAATTATGGTGATTTCATTGTGAAGGTGATCCGTCGATCCGGGCGTCGTAACGAACGACAACAACGATGGAACAGAGTTTGCTCTTCGAGGGACGAAATGTTTCACACATGTTACGTGTTACGTGTTACCGCGGTAACCCAAATTCCCAAGGCTGCCAAAGGCAAACACCACAGAGCCTCGATAGCTCAGCATTTTATCTAGCACCAGGCTACCAACGTTGCACTGCACTTCGAAACAGCACTCGTGGCCTTAATATCGATGGATCTATCGGTTCACTTCCCTCAAAGAGGAAACCTGTCCGGAGACGAATCTCCACGATCGCGTTTCCGTACCGTCCAAGACCCGATATGTCAGGACCGAGCGTCGACGACGAGTCAATCCGGCTCGGAGGAGGCTCGAGCCGCGTTAGTACGCACCCCCAATGTACCCCTTTACAGCGTATCGTTCCAACTTCAGAATTCAATTTACCTTCACTGGTACAGTAGCATTCCGATCGGTAATGCCTCTGGTGTACTGTTTAAGGATATCCCCGGAGCGGTTCTCCGCCAAGTACCAGCAAGAAGAGTAGCCGCGAACGAGGATGAGAGAACCCGGGCTCGCGGTTATACCGAACAAAACACTCTCACGTACAGCAACTGTCACTGCCGCCGAGGCAGCCGGGTGTCTCGTACAGTAGGACCGGCGAGACGAACACCTTGCGCCCGATCCTGATCCGATGCGACGTCGCAAGAACAATTATCATCGATCATCGATCGGCCAAGGGTCTTGCTAGCGCCTGTCGGCGTTCCTCGTTACGTTTTTCTTCTCCGCACTGCTCCCCCGTGTTCTCGTTCGTCGACGCGCGCTACCGAAACGCCGACACTCGAAAAAAAAAAAAACGAAAACTTCCCGACAAGAACCGTCTACCGACACTTTTCTCCCCCCTGGGGTCACTCGCTGATACCGCACGCGCGTTCCTCTTCCCTTTGCGTTCGAAGAAAAAAATTTAAAAAAAAAATAAAACCAACTGATTCGTGCGGACGAGGGTGGGTGTATCCGCCGACTGGTTCCCCCCGGTTGTTGCGTGTCACTCGGTCGATTCGTTCGCACCGACTACGGCTCGTTAGGTAATCCCGGACCTGAAACGCGCTTGGTGGCTAGCACTCCGGCACGCACGTTCTCCGCCGAGCGCAGAAGAACTAATAAAAGCTGGGACCCAGCTTGATACTGCGTAGGCCGCTTACTACTCCTTCCACCGCGGCACCGTCCTATCCCACCGACGTGCCGGACCGGGCCCCGACAGAGACAGGCAGGAGAGAATGCACCGACGGACGGACGGACGGACGGACAGACGAACGCGGACGGACCCGACGGACATAAGGACTTTAAACAGGTATACACACACGGTGCACGCTCGGTGGGTAGTACCCGGGTTGCCCGATCCTCCGCAGTTACTGCTCGTTGCTCCTGGCTGCACACGTTCCTCGCTGCTCCCTGCCCTGGCCTCGCCTTGCCCCCGCGCCTCCCCAACGGTCCTCACTCGGTCAAGGTCCCCCCAACCAAAAACCTGCACTCTGGCTGACGGGGATCCTGAACGAAACTCGGTTAACCTACGCGTTCCTTCCAGTGATTCGCTTGGAGAACGGTTACAGAGTTTAACCCTTGACTTGTTACAAGTTCTTAATGACATGTTTCACCAATTGCAGTCATCGAGTCTTACCTATTAAAATCGACAGATTTTTACATTCACTGAAGCATTAGTGAAGCGAATCTATTCTTTCTCGTGACCACTTGTACGAACATATTTAAAGAAAATTAAACAGTATACGTTTGAAAAATTATTTGAGATTTAATTGCACGTACAGGGGTCTATTTTATGCCCGACCATAAATGAAATTTTATGCCTAATCCCCTGAAATTTCGTGCGTATGTTTGCGTATAAGTAGTGAGAGGCTTATTTTAACAATTGTCCCTGATGCTTCGAAGTATCATAAATCAGTAAATAGACAGATTATGAAAATAATTTTGGCCAGATGCATGAAGCAAATATCCCACTGTGAGTTGCGTCGTCTCGTGGTCGATGATTCGATCCATGGACAACGCTATACTTGGAGCGACGCAGCCTCGCGTGCGAGGGTGGCGGAGATCGCCTCTTGGACTCGATTCGCTTGGTCTCGTCGCGAAGGTGAGGTGGAGTCGGAGGATGATGGTCGACTGGATGCGTTCGCGGCGTGGACTATATGGCACTTATGGTCTGCGTTGGTTAGAGAGACGATTGAGACATCGAACGGTAGGCGACGATACGAGAAAATATGAGAGGCCGGCGTGAAGAATAGCGGAGGACGCGGGTTTAGAGAATATGGGCCGAGTGTGGGATTCTCGATGGTTCCAGAACGTTTCGTACTCGAGGTGTTCGATTATACCAGGTGTTACGTTAAATGCGCGATAGATTTGCATCGATCCATCTGGCTAGAAGTCAATTTCGTTCAAACTGTACCACGCAGGAATAAATTGTCATCCGTCAAAGTCGAATGTTTAGGAGGAAATACGTTGCAATTGTATTTTCTTGGCCGTTTGTAATACTTCACTTTCTGTTTTAGATAATCTTTCTTAAAAATCGAATTTGAACATTGAAAGTAGAAATAGTGATTAATGGACAGCCTTATTCGTTGAATCCCCTTTCACCCAGATTGGTACATTTCCTCTACGAACATTTTTCTCTTAATTTTTATTTGCTAAATAAAGTTGTTAAATATTAAATACATTACTTATACCAACATCGTACCAAAAAAAAAAAAAAATAAAAATAGTAATTTTTTAATGCAAAGAAACATATTTAATTCAGTTTTTATAGAATTTGCAAAGTTGGAAAGCTGTGATTTAAATAGTGGAATGTTTTCTGCACATATTGAAAAACTGAATTTTGCCTGTTTTTTTCGGGGTGTTCGAATCACCGTGTACCGTTGGTTTTGCGTGTGAAACGGCATTAAAAATGAACAATAGCGGCGGTTAGGAATTACGAAAGACTACTATCCATCGGTAACTATCGATCTCCGGGGAGTTTATCATTCGAGAACGTGTTTGTCCTGCCGATGTATACAGATGTTAACGCGAAAGTAGGCAGAGGGATCGGTAACCTTGTAACGGGCACGCAGGGGCGAGCTGCGAAGAGGAGATCGTGCATCGCTAAGTATCAAGGGTGTAGCGGCGAGGGCCCGACAGAGTACAATTACAGGTGATTGAGGATCGGTCTTGTTTCTATTTTACTCGATTTCTGCGAGTAGTTAGCCTGATCCGCGACGGGGCCAATCACAATGTCGACTCTTAGCGGATCGAGCGTATTATGATTGGCGTAATCATCGCATGGGGCGAATCAACGGTAGTCCGGTATATAAATAATTGAGCTTTAAAGTCGATCTACGTGCCGTTGATCTAGCTGATGAAGGGTGGACGAGTACCGGGGCACTCGTGGGACGCGCCAAGTAATAGACGAGTGTTATTGCGTAGCGTGATGATGAGGCGGCTGTTGGGATCCTTTACGACGCGCACCCGGTGTGTCGTTCCGCGGTGGAAAAATAACTTTACGCGAAAAACGGGATTAGTAAAAATCGTTTGTTATTGCTTAATCAACGTCTGTCGCCGGATGAACGAAATACCAGTTATGCGGTCATTGAGTATCCCCGGTTCTGGGACAGGATGTCGTGAAAAGGAAGTTACGCTAGGTATTGCGGAGAACGAGAATAATGTGGCTAGAAGAAACTTTTAATAGGCAATCATTTTCTCGATCGTTCTATAGTCTCTGAAATTCGTTTCAAAAAACAGTTTAAACCTAGCAGGAGGATTTTTTAATCGTGTCGCGTCATCGAGAATTATACTTTGTTTGCGAGCAAAGAATTTTTTGGGTCGTGCAAAATACCAAACGAAATAAAATTTTTGTTCGATGTTGCTCGGTAAGTTGCGTTCGAGGAAGTCAGGATTTTCAACGCTGGTTGAAAAATATTATTTAATCGATATTTAAGAACTATTCTGTGAACAGAAAGGGTCAAGAACAATTGCTTTAAAAGGATTGCGTTCGATTCAATTTAAGAATCATATTTTGCTGTCTTATACCGAGTGACTTACAAATGTACGAAACTCTGACGTACTGTTTGGGTAGCTGAATACCCAGTAAACCACATAATCAACAAATTTATTTTCCTGAACATCTCGACTTGAGAATTAAGTCAAAGTGCTATTTCGAGCAAAGAAGTAAAAAGTTTTTCACCGATACGACACGATCTTCGATAAATCGAAAGGAACCAATATGATATTATACATTTGTTCATAATTTAGAAAGACATTAATTTTATTTAAATGGTTACTTTCCGCGTAACTCGTTCAGACTCGAATTCTTTGAATGGTATGCTGCATGCTCGCGTGGACGCTGCAAGCAGTTGGCATTGGAGCTGTTCGAGATCTTGGAAAACCGGGACGAGACTGGAATATTCGAGATTGTCTAGCCGCGTATTGTGGGATTCTCGTGTGTTCTGGAATCTTGACCAGCTTTGGTTCGTACCCACCGTTGAAACGCTCATGTTAATGCGCGATGCCTCGCGCGTAGCAATGAGCGCATTGTAAGATGCAATAAATAATAAACATTAAACTTCTCAAAGTACCGTAACACGCGACTTGGAACGTCTTGTGTTTCATAATTTCTTATTCTCTTTATCGTAAGCTGGATGTTCAGGGTTAAGAGCAACGTATTATATTTAACGAGCGTGCACTTCAATACTTTTTTTTTACCTCTCAGGAGTGCTTCTGACTGGGTAAATAAAAGTCTCTGTTGTAGTAAAAAGAATCGACCCATTAGGTGATGTAACGAATCATTCGATGTAGATAATAAAAAGTACTACTTCTGTTGTCCGATCTATGGTTCTAGGACAGAAGTAACCTATGACTTTTTAGCTAAATTAATGCGACTCCTAACCCTCTGCACTCCTACGTCGATATTTTTTCAAGTCCAAACCAAAGAGATATACACTTGAAAATAACAAAATCCAATAATTTTTAATCAACGTAAATTTCAAATAAAACACTTGAAAGCATTGGGAGCAGCTGGTAACAAGATTGAAATATAATTTGTAGTGCAAAGGGTTGATTCGAGTCAAATTATTTAACGTATATGCTCCTCAGATCTTTGTCAATTTTATATGAAACTAAACAAACGCGTCGCGTTGACCAAACCCAGTGGTTCCGTTTCGTCCACGGAGCATTGATCTTCCATAAAAAAAGGGGTAGCCGTTTGGTTAAAATGTGCGAAACAGCGCGCGAACAGGGAACGATCGCACCTGATCGGCTTACGCGGTTACGAGAAGCTTAGAAACGTTCGCGGCGGTGATTTATGATAGTTCGAGGTGTTACACCGGTGGCGGTGGTATGCCAGTACCGTAGACACTTGACGGGTCAAAGTTTTCACCCTTCCGTGGTGGACCAGGGGGGCCTGGTTCTCACACGTGATTGGCGTGCGTAAATGGGTGACGACTAAACTGGTGGAACCGAGCAACAACAACAGGATTTTCGAGATGATGATGATAATGATGATGATGATGACGATAATGATGATGATGCCTGTGGTAGCGATGTCGGGTGACTGAAATGGAAGGCGGGGAGGGGCCCCCCCGGTCCGTGCAAGTTCAACTATAAGACGGTCTCTTTCCCCTCTCTTTATCTCGGTTTCGAATGAGCCGTCCTTGAACTTACCGGGCGCGCTCCTCTACCGGTGCTAATGAAGAGTCAGACTGGAAAGTCCTACGCGCGGTGGACAGACGTCTCTAATTGGCCCCACCACCCGGACCACCTCCAGAACGTGGAAAGCCGTGCGTTTAAACCTGGAGAAGTTATTTTCACTTTCTATCCGGCGGCCGTCGGGCGGGAACACGGGGATACGCGCGTAATTGTACACGTTTCGCTGTGCCGGAGACCGACGCGGTTTGAAGTTCGAGCGCGGATCGACCGGTAGGCCGTGGACGTGATGTAACCGTGCAACAAGCACACAGTGGGTGTTCTATCTACGATTGTTCGATGCCTCGTTGCGTCAGTTCAATGCGTCTATATGACAGATGTGACAGATCTATAGGGTAACCTGCCGTCGAACGGTTCACTTTACGACTTTGTCTTATCGCCTATGACTAATTACAGCATCGGGAATTAAACGGTTCGATTTTTCTCTACACGGCTGCCGCTACGAATTAATTCTGACGTAGCTCGTTGCATTTCAAGAATAAGCTGTTTCACGGGGAAAATTTAATTTTAAAATATA